ATAAATCACTACACGCACACACACGTGCACACACACACACACACACACACACACAAATGCATATTTTTGGGTGGTTTTCTTTTGTGTTTGCCTGATTTTACCAGGAAGTGAAATGTTTTCCTCTGATACTTCTGGAAAGATTATATGCGTACATTTCCTACTTTAATTTGTTCATTCATTTATTATTTTTGTTATTGACTTATGCATTTATTCTCAAGTCATTTGGTAGACAGCTGGATGGCTCCTGGAAATTCCATCACAAAGGCTAAAAAGGAAATGCAAGAAGGGCCAGAACTCAACTGTAAATTAATGCCTTCTCATCTGCAGTAACCCATTTGTCTGTCTGTCTGTCTGTCTGTCTTGGTGCTCATGATACCTCTCTGAACTTGATAATTGTTGAACTTATGGATGAAGAAATGATGCTCATTGAAACTGAGGCTGTGGCCTAATTGATGCTGATGTTAGTGGAACCTCTGTCCTATCTATAACATCTTTTGAGCTCAGCTTTACACAACTCAGTTGTGTCATTTCATTGTGTTCTCAGACATCTCTAATGGGCTGGTGCATTCACTTTTGGAGCCTGAATGCAGAGATAAAAACTTTAAAGCAAATATGTTTCATTTTAAAATGTCTTACTTGAGGTCAAACGCTTAAGATCATTGGAAAATACTTTAGAAAATTAATAGAAGTTAGAACTATGAACTCATTTAGAATTATTATTATTGAGTTAAAATGATACTTGTGTATTTTTGGGGGGCAATCAATTCTCCAACTGCCTAGAAAGGGTAACAGCGAGGGCTAAGGAAATAAAGACAACAGAGATTTGTGTAATTTCACAGTATATGGGGGGCTGGGAGGTCAGTGCCAGAGCAGGCAAAGACAAAAACACTCTGAGCTAGGCACTATTTATTGGCTGCCCACAGTAATCAGAAGGAGCATTGGGTGACTTAGAGGGCTGTGGCAATCCTATGTTGACCAGGGTCTCAGGTCACTGAGGTTCTTATGTTGATGAGGGAGGTAAGGACAGCATTCTTACAATTGTAGGTGGGACGAGATAGTGGGCTAATAAAGAATTTGTCCTTTCCCCAGGTTAAACCTTTCTCTTTTTTTTTATTACTACAAGGTTCTCAAAGAACCAGGATGTCTTCAGCTGATGTATTCTTGCCCTTGAGCATCACAGCATCATGGGACCATTGAGGCCTCAACTTGTGGCCAGAGGCAAAACAGAGTTCTGTTTCCACGTGCCATAGCCAGCTCGAGGGCAAGGTGACATTGGGCCTTAGACAGCTATAGTCATCCTTTAATTATGAAATGATTTTTTCCCCCAAATTATGTAGAATGGCTCCCGACAGTATATAAATTTTGAATGTTTTTACCATGAAGAGATGATAACTATTTGAGTAGTTAAATATGTTTACCCTCATTTGAACATTACACAATGTGTATATCTATCTAAATATAATATGATAGCCTATAAATATGTGCAATTTTTATATATAAGTTAAAAAATTTTTAAAAATGCTCCTGATTCAAATGGTAGGAGTCAGTTATACTAAAGCTTGCTGATTCCTTTTAATTTTCTATCAACTAAACCCCTAGGGGTTGGGGTTCATCCAAAGCCTTTCCAAGAATTTGGGGACTTGTTGGTGAGCTTATTTTTCTCCTTCTTCCTTCTAGTTCTAAGTCTCAGTGAATTAGTTCAGATCATCAGTGGTCCCACTGTGCCCGTAATCACTACTTTCCACAACTGTTTGGATGCGTGACCCACTTTACTGAAGATTTGGGGGAAAAAGAGGAATATACATCACAGACATAAAACAAGTTGAAATCGGTTACTAGAAGGAGCTGCTCTTCTTGAGTTCCTTGTGTGACGGCTACTGAGCTTGAATCCCCCACTTGTCAACTGACACCCCTTTTTCACTTCCTCTTTTTTCAGGTTCTTCTCTCTTTTCTCTCCCCCTTCCCTTACAGGGTGCAAAATCAACCATTTCCTATTTTAATGTATTTTTTAAACTTTATTTTTCATGGGAAGCAAGTAAGCTCTCACCAACTCTGGCAGTCAAATGAAGTTTGGATTCCCCACTTGCCTGTCCGAGGAGGTAGTCCAGTTAGAGATGATGTTTTGTAAGGCGACTTCTGCCTAAATATTTGGACAGTGGTCATCCTCCTCCTTCATCTGGGTCTGGAGGTGAGGATGGAAGTGGGAGAGGTAGAGTGTGTCCTGGTTACTGTATTTAGAGGAAAGGTCAAAATCATATGCTTTGGGCTAGGCAGGGTTTGCACCATGGCTTCTCTACTTCATGGCTCTGTGACCTAGGACAAATTACTTCATTTTCCTATGCCTGTTTCCTTATCTGTAGAGTGTGACCGACACTACTTCCTTGCAAGTTATGGAAAGGGTAAAATGGAATAACACTTTTGGTGCACCTGGCTAAATGCAGGCACTTACCAAATGCTAGTTTCCTTTTTTTTTTCTTTCATCTGATAAATACTTTCCTTGTGGCTTACATATGTAAACATTAAATATTTATAAATTCCATAATTCAAGAAAAATGAAACTTGAAGAGACATTTTACTTTGAATTTTTTGGATGACATAATCATCTCCATTTGTCTTTTTGTGCAGATCTATAATTTTATGTGCTGCACTGATGTTTGTGTACCATTCTCAGCACCGTGAGACTTGATTGAACCTATGCTGTCTTTGAAGTTTTATAGAAGATAAATATAAGCCATTGATGGTGTGATTTGTGGCAACTTAAATGACTGAAGCCTAGACCTGTCCTTGAGTATTAGTTCCAAGTGGGCCCATCAGAGCTGGAGAGATAATGAGGTTGTAAAAACAGGCTAAGGCTTGGTGGTTTGGTTGGATGGTGAAAATGGATGTTTTATCAGAGGAAAGGAGTTGCCATCTGTTTCCCCTTGGAAGCAGAACAGAATATAGCCTTTGAGTAAGTGAGTAAGTGATCCTTGTCAATTAGGCTGATTTAAACCATTGCCAAAGATACTCTGTGCACATCCCATGCAGCCTAATTTCAAATTCTGGGTGCCAGAGATTATATTAGAATTAGCAACTGACTACAACCTTCACAGTGTTTCATGTTTTTAGTGGCAAGAAAGAATAGTCTAAAACCTAAACAAAAGAGACTTTCCCTCTGTCAACCCATCAGTTGCCCAATTGCCTGCCAGATTTAGCCTGTGGCTTGTTTTTGTACCACCTATGAGGTACAAATGAATTTTGTATATTTGAGATGTTATTTAAAAAGAAAAATATGCAACAGGGACCAGATATGGCCTGCCCAGGCTAAAATATTTACTCTCTGCCCCTTTATAGAACAGGTTGCTTATCTCTGGTCTAAAGAGTTTGAAAGAGCTCATTAAATGTTCTTATTGAAGGGAGAATGTAATGATGATGGACCTTTTCAGTTGTAATCTGATTTGTGACAACCACAATGTGCCTATTTAAACAAAGCTTAATGGGCATTGCTGAGGATAAATATAATCACATTTCAATATTTGCCTTGCCCTCTTTACATAAGGTTATTCCAGCTTTGCCCAGGGAACAGAGTCTATTTGTTGTTTTAGAAGTAGCACATATGTCTGTCACCTCTACTCAGAAGCCTCCACCTGTCACTTCTCACCCCAGCTCCCCTGTGTGAATGTATGTCCTTGAGCTGCAATGACAGCCCTTCCCGCCTTCTCCTCTGGCCTGAGGAAAATTGCAAGGATATCTGGGCAAAGACTGCTAACAGTATTTCCTCTTATTCTGCTCATGATGAAGCTGGGGAAAATCTGTAGGAGTATGTGTACTTGGTGCAGAAGTGTGACCCCAGGGAAGGGCAGTTGTGGAGTTGCAGTGCATAGATTGAGTCTCCCAGAAGCAAGTTTTGAGATGTACCCTGAAAAATCAGCATAGTTTTCAGGAAGGCACAAGCAAAGTATGTAAGAATGAGGGAACATCTCACGGAGTGGACTTTTACAATGGGTGAGATGAGAATGGGTCATGATTGTGGCCAATTTAGTGGGAAATTTAAGGCATATGAAACAAGTCCAGTAGTCAGCAAAGAGCCACTGTAGTTTATTTTTTAAAAAGAGCAATGTATGTGTGTGTGTTGGGGGGGTCAGTGAAATGATAATCATGAAATTGGTTACTGCAGTTGTAACTGCATAATGTTTTTGTCAACAAAGGCTCACACATACCATTGTGGTTCCATTAGATAATATCACCTAGTGACATCAGAGCCATTTGAATTTGTGTTAGTACACTTCATGATTTCACACAGTGACAAAATCACCCAGCAATGTGTTTCTCACAACTGTGAGAGAAAGTCAAACAGCACACGGCTGTCTTTCTTAAGCTGTAACAAAGAAAAATATGCAACAGAGAACCTATGTAGCCTATAGACTTTGGCTGAGGTTGTTACATGGGCTATTTTGATTCTCATCACTCTGTGGTGGAAGATCTTATACCTACTTTGCAAATGAGTAAACTAGGCCCAAAGAGGTTAAAACTACTTGTTCAAGGTTGTCAGGTTAATAATGGACAGAGCCTAGATGCCCTGACCTGGGAGCCCAAGCGCTTAATTCCCAAGCTGTTGAATCAAGCTCAGCATAAAACATTCAAGCGACAACAACAAAAAAAGAAAAGTGAAATAGGAGCTGAAATCCTGCCTTCCAGAAATGACCACATGGGGTGAACATTCTTTTAGGCATCTTCTATGTGCAGGCACAGCAACATGTATCTGCATTTTGTGTAACCCAGGCTAATTATCTTGTACCTGCACATTTTATATAAATGACAGCATACACTATACCCCAGTTCCCTGCCCTTAAAACTCATTTTCATAAATGAGTGCATGGAATCTCACTTTATAACCGTGCCCTCATCCACTTAACCAATCATCTTTAGATCACAGCAGGTTCTTGAAAAGGGCAGTAGTTTATTGGAAGCTTTTCCAAAAAAAATTAAACGGAATCTTGTGCTTTTCCCTTTCTTTGCAGCATGCCCTTGATGCTGACAACGCAGGAGTCAGTCCAATAGGAAACTCTTCCAACAGCAGCAGTCACTGGGACCTTGGAAGTGCCTTTTTCTTTGCTGGAACGGTCATCACCACCATAGGTATCTGATCGCTTGCTCCTATCTTTTTCTCTGCAGGCCACCCTAAGTAATGGTTAGTCAGCATTTTGTCCTCACAGGAGGCATGAAAATGTGAGGCTGAATGGAGGCTTCTGAAACTCTGCCCCATGAATACCTTGTTGTGGGGGCTTTCAGTAAAAGGCAAAGAAGAATGGAGAATTTCTTTTCAGAGTCAAAGGCTAGGGAGCATTTAGTCTGGAGGAACTCAGTGAAAAGGCTAGAGTGGAAAATAGGAATGGGTCAGATGAACTCAGATTGGTCTATTGAGGTCAAATTCTTTCTTAAAGATTGTATTGCTCATTAAAAGTTATATGTAATGGTACAAAAACGGTCTTGAAAGTTCATTATGGAAAACAGTATTCTGCCCTTTCCCATTTTTTTCAACTCCTCAGAGACAAATGCATTTTATCTCTTGTTTGATGATTTTATTTATTTATTTTTTATTAGCATCCATCCTTTGTCTTCAAAGATCATGCTTTATTGCCACATCTGGAATTTTTGGTTTTAGGAATTATTTCTTAACTTCCGATTGTGAAAGGAGAGGAGTTAGTTCCCTTCCTTCTTCCCCACCACACTGCAGACAGCCCTTCTTCCTGTTTCCCTATCTTCCCAATATAGTTTCATTAGACAAAATCTGAACATTTGCCGCAGGTGGACGGTTAAGTAACTGCTCTCTGCAGCAGGTCGGATGGTGAACTATGACTACTTCTTTCCTGAACCAGTTGTTGTCTTATTTTATTATTATAATAGTGTACAATAACCTTGGTGTTCTAGTCATTAACCAGTATGTACTAGATCTCTATTATAGGAGACAACATCTCTTCTCTGTCTCCTCCATTAAAACAATTTTGGTTGGTCCATCTTTTAAATGCTTAAATATGCTTACATTTTACTTATATGATTTGCCAGTTTTTAATGATAACTCTTGGCTCTCAGCTGAATCCTACAGTGCATTCAGTGAACTCACTCAGCCTCTCCACTTCCTTTCCCATCACACACCAACTATTCCTCATTGTACCACTCTCCGTGTAACATCAAGGAAATAATTTACATTCTGCAGTCTTACCCCACACTCACATTTGCTTCAGTCACAGTGTTGCGGTTAAATATTGTCAGTGTTCACCTGTAGGCCTTTTGCCATTGTTTTCTTCATCATCACGTGCTTGGCCAAAAGTTATCATGAAGTAGTTGTTTTAAGAATGGCTCAGGGAAGGGCCGGGGATTTAGCTCAGTGGCATTGCGCTTGCATGGCTCATGGAGCTGGGTGTGGTGGCCCAAGCCTGCGATCCATGGCACTCAGAAGGCCAGCCTGGGTAACATGAGACCTTGGCTCAAAAAGAAGAAGGAGAAAGAAGAGTAAGAGAAGAAGGAGAAGGGAAGAAGAATGGCTCAGAGACCGAATATTCTTGGGCTCTTGCATTGTTTAAAATGGCGGCCATGTCTATGGCTGTACCACCTGAATGTGGCCGATCTCATCTAAAATGGTGGGAATGAAATTCCTTTCACTGACTCACATTTTCTTTTTGCTGTGTCCTCTGGGTTTTTCTCACTGTCGTCTGATATTTGTGTTGCTTTGGAGAAACCTAAGGCCACCCCTATTGTTTTTTCTTTTTAGCAGGATCTTGATCTTTTTGTTTAGCTCTTTAAAAGATTATTTCTTTATAAAACACTACTAGTTTTTTTATTAGTACATATTTGCAGTACATGATGTTTATATTCCTTGTGTGGAGTTGGTGCAGGTACATAATACATCTTAATTCCTTTTTTCATCCACTTTCCTTCCCTTCTCTTCCCCTTTCTTCTTGGCCATCGTCTTTAAATATTTTCTCTGCTGTGTAGTTTTGATTTTTTTCTTCAGGGGACTTCAACTAATTATGTACCATAACTTTATGCCTGACTTCAATGTTATTGTTCCTCCTTTACTTCTTTTTCATTTGGTTGATTTTATCTCCTTTGAATGTGTGTGCATGTATTTCAGTGACTGCTCTACTATGTGCTCCTTTTAATTTTGTGTTCATTTTGATGACATTAGGGGATTTTTTTTTTTGAGACAGAGTCTCACTATATAGTTCAGGCTGGCCTTGAGCCCACTAAGTGGGCCATGCTGGCCTCAAACTTGAGGTGATTCTTCTGCCTCAGCTTCCCAAGTGCTGAGATTACTGCCATGCGCCACCATGCCTGGCAATATTTCCTGAATTTCTTAGCTCATATTCTATCTCCATTTATTATCTCACTGTTTCTTGCCTTTCCTCTTTGTGGTTTTTCTGTGAAGACTCTTTTTTTATTGATACCTGTAATACATAAAAAATTATATTTTCTTTGGTGAATATATATATATAATATCTTGATCATTTTCCATTTTCCATTCCTTCTTCCCTTGATTCCTTTTTCTATCTCCAAAAAGTGTACCTCCTTGTTTCCTACTATCTTTATTTTATTCTTTAGTTTATTTGTATTTAGAGTTTCTTTGTTTCCATAGTTTAGTTATTGTGAATTGTGTTGCTATAAACATGGATATGCATGTATCATTATAGTATGATGTCTTTAACGTTTGGTTAACAAATAAAAGACCCAATCAAAAACTGGGAAAATATTGAAAACAACACTGAGATTCCATCTCACCCCACAAAGAACAGCTGCTATCAAGAAATCAACAAATAACAGATGCTGGCGGGGGTGTGGAAGAAAGGAACCCTTCTCCGTTGTTGGTGGGAGTGCAGACTGGTGCAACCACTGTGGAAATCAGTATGGAGATACCTCAAAGAACTAGGACTAAAGGTCCCATTTGACCTGGCTATTTCCCTGCTTGGTATCTTCCCAAAAGAATTAAAAGAATCATACCACAGTGATATATGTGCACCTATGTTTATAGCGGCACAGTTTGTAATAGCTAAAGTTGGGAAACAGCCCAAGTGCCCATCAACTGGAAACTGGATAAAGAAGATGTGTTTTTTTTTAATAAAATGGAGTACTACTCAGCCATAAAAAAAGAGAAACTAGAGACACTTATAGCTAAATGGATGCACATTGAGGCCATACTCTTAAGTGAAATAAATAGGACACACATGTGTAAATACTGAATAGTTTCTCTAGTGTGAGAAACTGAAAGTGTCAGTAAGGATGAAAATGATTAAAATGAATAATTGATTATTTGAAATAGGAAAAGGTCCAAAGGTGTGGGGGTGGCAGGAGGGGAAGGGGAAAGGAACGAAGGGAAAGGAAAAATTATGAGAAATGGAAAAAAATGGAAATGAAATCTATGTAAATAGGGAAGGGTGGAGGGGGTGAAGGGCACACAGGTAATGGGGGAAAAAATAAGAACCAAGATACATCATGTTCAGGTACAAACACCCAATGATAAATGTAAATGTACTGTATACCTAAAATGTACCAATTAATATATAAATAAAAAACAAAACAAAACAAAACAAAAAACCCCCCCAAAACAAAAAATGGACAAATAAAATAAATTGACACTTCTGAGAAGAAGTGCAAATGGCCAATAGGTACATGAAAAAATATTCACATCTCTAGCCATTAGGAAAACATAAACAACAACTCTGAGATTCCATCTAACTTCAGTATGAATGGCTGTCATTAAGAATATAAGAAAACAACATATGCTGATGAGAATGTGGGAGAAAAAGAAACTTTTCTGTATTAGCAGTTGGGAATGTAACCTAGTACAACCACTATCAAAATCAGTATAGAAATTCCTCAAAAAACTAAAAAGAGAAATTTCATTTGAGTCAGCTATTCCTCTTTCTGAAGATTCTTAGAAGTGATTGTTTCATAGTCAGTCATAATTTTTGTCTGGTTCTTGCAACATTTTTCTGGTGTCTTTCTTCCTTTGGTAAGTTTTGCTACTCTTTTCATATTTTTTCTTATGGCACTTTTATATTTATGCTATGCCAGCTTCTTTTTTAAATATTTGACCTCAAACAAACTGGGTATTCCTGGACCAGCTATTTGTCTCATGTAATTGTGAGGCTGGGGAGAGAAGATGAGGTGATGTAATCCCCAGAGAGCACCTTCCAAAGCTTTTCTTCATGTCTCCTGTATGTTTCTGAGACAGAGTGTGTATTGGTCAGCTTTTCATATTTGATTCATGGTTTTAGAGGATTCAGTCCATGGTCAGATGGCTTCAAGGGTGGGACATCATGGTGGAAAGTTGTGGTGAAGCAAACCTTAGCAGGGGAACAGTGCCAGAAAGGAGGGGGCCAGGGACCAGATATAGACCCCAAGGCCATGCCTATATGACCACCCAGACACACTTAGAAGTGTGCTTTACTAATCTTCTAGGTGGCTCCCAAGTCAATCAAGTTGACAATTAAGCTAAACCTTCATAGAGCACTTCATGAAAGTATGGTTCTTCTGTTTTATTCTCTACAGAATTTTGCCTCTTTCTGTTTTCTGAATGAGATCAAATTTAGGGTAGCTTCTGCTATTCCACTTCATCTTAAATTTCACATTTGCTGCAAATAAGGATGTCTCTTTTAAGGTTCAAGGTGAGGCCCTCACCTTCATGCCTGCATGTTTGCTGGTACTTTCTAAAATTTTTCTGTGATGGGCCTTTTCATCATTCTCTGACTTCCTCCCTTTATTTTTTCCCATATGACTCTGTCCGTTCTCAGCTTCTTTTGGTAAATATATATATATATATATTAGAATCTATAGATTATTTCCTTCTTCTAGTTCTGCTGAAATGTGTTTGAGGAGTTTCTGCCCCCATACAGTAGTGAACTAGTGTTGTAATAAACATCCTCATTCAGAAGCATGAGAGATAAACAGTTGAAATTGGCCTATAGCAATGATGGACAGGCATCTAGAAGCTCCTCTGTCCTCCCAGTGGGAGGAGTCCTTCATTAAAATCTGTTTATGCTTTCTGAAAGAGAACAGCATCATGTTAAATTATGCTTGAGTCTGATAGGATGCTGTCTTAGTCACTCTCGTCATCACTGAGACACAATACCTAACACCCA